TTTCTTTCTTTCTTTCTTTCTTTCTTTCTTTCTTTCTTTCTTTCTTTCATGTTTATTCGTTTTTGAAAGAAAGAGACAGCAGGGAAGGGACAGAGAGAGAAGGAGATACAGAATCCGAAGCAGGCTCCAGGCTCTGAGCTGTCAGCACAGGGCCCGACACCGGGCTCAGACTCAAAGACCGCGAGATCATGACCTGAGCCGAAGTCTGACACTTAAACAACTAAGCCACCCAGATGTCCCTAGGGCTCCAGTTTCTTCTAATGAAAACACTTAGCCATCATGGAGGCTCCACCCTCATGACCTTATTGAAATCTACCTACCTACAAAGGCCCCGCCTCCTACTGTCACCCCAGGTAGGGTTAGTTTAAAGATAGGACGTTTAGGAGAACACAAACACAGTGCATCACAGCTATTTGACTCCTCTGAGCCTCATTTTCTTCTCTGTAAAGAAACAGGAATACTCCCCTCACATCTCATCGTTGCGATGAGAATTAAGTAATGCAGGTAGCATGCCTTTTTTAATAAATGTGATTTCACCTGCGTAATCCAGATGGTACTCAACTCACATGTTGTCGTTGCCAGTCCCCAGGCATCCCTCTGAAGAGAAGTATAGATTAACCAGAACTGGATCATCTGGACCGGGCAATCAGGATGGTGAGAGGTCTGGAAATCATGTCAGATGCAGCATGCCTGGTGGAACTGGGTATGAACATCGAGACTAAGACTCGTTGTTATAACTGCTCTCAGGAGGCATGACCAGACTTGTTTTATGTTGTCCCAGAGTGCCAAACTGGGACCAGAGGTCTGAAGTTATAGGATGCAGATTTTAGCTCCACCAAGGAACTTTCTGACAAGAATACCAGGACTCATAATTAACAATTCACATCACGGGCTCTTTGCCGTGAGCTGTGCACTGTTCTTTTATTTAACTCCCCCAACAACCCTATGAGAAAGGGTTAGTGTAGAAACTGATGGCTCGGAAACAAATGACTCGGACTTCACAATAGTTTGTTAAGTGGACGTTGGCTTACTGATAGCGAAATGGTCCGCTTGGAAGAAAAATGAGATGCCAATCCTTCTACCTGTGTTCGAGCTGGGTCTTGGGTAAACAGGTAGTCAAAAGGACAACTGGGAAGGAACATTGGCAATCAGTCAAGTCCCTTCATTTGAGAGATGAGGGACTGAGTGCCAGGGACGCATGAGGATTCGGACAAGGACACACAGCCAGTAAGCTGATGATGGGACGGACCATTTTCGCAGGCCTTACCGAAGCCCCAACGATGCCGGCTGTTAGCAGTCAGCCAGACGCCTGCCACGGAGAGTGTTGAATGCCCAAAAGGCAGTGACTACGCAGTTCCAGGGAGTTGCTTGGCCAAGCGAGAGGCTACGCCATTAGCCCTCCATTCCCTCCACCCCCACCGGTAACTCGGCTACACATCCGTGCCGTGCCTACAGGGTTCCTGTTCGTCTCTCCTTACTAATCCTGAGCTCTGAGGCTAAGCCTTGGGAGAAAGGCTTGGGCCAGCCAGACCACCACAGCTCCTGCCAGCTTTCCTCCTGAGAGGAGGCGACCACCGCTCTGCTGCTGGAGAAACCCGTGGGGGGGGGGGGGGCACTATGCCGCCATCACAGTCTCCTTCCTGCTGGGGACAAGTCAGGAGGAGTCACAAATTAATATTACTCAATGAATTAGTCTGGAAAGCAGCTACCCATGCCAGGCACTGTTCTAAAGTTTCAGGTGCATTAACTCAATGGGCTTTATGACCCTCCAGAATAGGTACCCAGACTTCCTCACACCACAAAACTGGCCAGTGGCGATTTGAACCCAGGCGGTCTGGCTGTAGAGCTCACACCTGCTCACGGGAAGTCTCAAGGCCGTCTCAAGGGCTCCCTTTACCGACACCACCGGTACTCGTGAAGGTCCACGCTGATTCCTTCAGGGTTATTTTGTCTTTCCAACTAAGGTGGACTACAATGCCTGGGCGTGTTATTCAGGGCTGCTGTGACAACGTACCACAAATCGGGTGATTTAAACAATAGAGAATTTATTGTCTTGAAGTTCTTGAGGCGCCAAGTCCAAAATCAAGATGTCGGCCGAGCTGGCTCTTTCAGAGGCCATGAGGGAGATTCTGTTCCAGGCCTTCCAGCTAGCATCCGGTGGTTTCCTGGCAACCTTTGGAGTTCCGAGGCTTGTAGAAGGGTCACCCGATCTCTGCCTTCCTCTTCTCGTTGTGTTCTCTCTGCACGGGTATGTGTGCGTGTGTCCAAATTTCCTTTTTATTTTATTTATTTTTTAAAAATTTTTTTTTAACATTTATTTATTTTTGAGACGAGAGAGACACAGCCTGAACGGGGGAGGGGCAGAGAGAGAGGGAGACACAGAATCGGAAACAGGGTCCAGGCTCCGAGCCATCAGCCCAGAGCCCGAGGAGGGCTTGAACTCGCGGACCGCGAGATCGTGACCTGAGCTGAAGTCAGACGCTTAACCGACTGAGCCACCCAGGCGCCCCCAAATTTCCTTTTTATAAGAATACCAGTCATACTGGATTAGGATCCGCCATAATAACTTCATTTGAACTAATCCCATCTGCAATGACCCTATTTGCAAATAGGGTCACAGTTTGTGGTTCTGGGGGTTAGGGCTTCAACATAAAAACTGCGTGGGAGGCTGCGTGCCATAATTCAATCCATAACACTGGGTACAACCAACTAATCCAAAGAAGATTTGAAGAAATGTAACCGATTTCAGAGGACACGGTTAGAGTTTATTGGCACAAATGAACCAAACTAGGTAAGCGTTGTTTTAACACACACTAGATCATGTTTTGTAGAAAGATATAATTATACAATAATGAGACTGCTGGTCTCATTAGGCAAAGTGAATCTCCCAGAAGCTATGAGCCTAAGGGATTTAGGCCCCAGTCTGTGCTGTCCTGCCATTGTATGGAGCATGGGGATCAGGATATCCAGAGGATATCCAAACCCTCCACTGTGTCGGAATGGAGTGGTGGCTTAATTGTTTGGTAAGGTCGTTTAAAGCACCTTTTCAGGGCTTTCTAGCTTTTACTAGAAAGGCAATCTTGAAACATGATAGATAGGACTGATATTTGGGGACAAGAGAACACTGGTGTGGTATAGAACAATGGTTACCAAATCCTGTCTAAGGTAGGTGATAAGTTTTCACCAACCAACTATAAAAAGAAGAAAAATGTGGACAAAATTAGTGTGAAGTTTCCATAAAAACATTTTTCATGAACGTATTCAAACTGATGGGCTATTGTTTTCCTTTATTCTCCTGTTCTTCTTCATCCTTTTAGTGTCAAAATGTCTTTTCTGAAATAATGGTGATAAAACATTATAGCTTTTTAAAATATTCTTGGTTGGCCAAATAAAAATGCCAACTGTGTATCACTCCCCTCAAGCTTTTTTTTGTTTTTTTTTAGCATTTATTTATTTTTGAGACAGAGGGAGAGAGACACAGCATGGACGGGGGAGGGGCAGAGAGAGAGAGGGAGACACAGAATCCGAAACAGGCTCCAGGCTCTGAGCTGTCAACACAGAGCCCGATGCAGGGCTCGAACTCACAAACCGCGAGATCATGACCTGAGCCGAAGTTGGACGCTTAACTGAGCCACCCAGGCGCCCCAGTCCCCTCAACCTTTTTAAGAACATTTTACTAGTATGTAAGACACACGACTGGGAATCAGTGTTGGAGTGTGACACTGTTAGAGGGGCAAGGGCCTCGGAAGACCAGCAATTCTTGGGAACGTGAGTTTACATGAACTGGGATGACTGGGTAGAACTTTACAAAAGTATCCATACTCAACCTCTGAGAGTATTGAATTAGAAAAATGGTGTGCTACAGAAAAAATGAGAGAGAAAACCGAGAGAGAGGAAGATGTGGGGTGTGGGATCCAGGAGCGGTAGGAAGTCCCAAGAACTGCCCCTGGGCACCAGGCCTCGGCAACAACTAGTCAGGAAAGGAAGTGCATAGGGAGAAAAAAGGTAATTTACAACTCTAGGAAAGCCATGCTTGTTATGAAAGGAAACACATCACGCTACCGTAGTTCCTTCTCATCTGTGGGTGATACGCCCCGAGCCCCACTGTGGATGCCTGAAACAGTGGATAGCACTGAACCCCATATGTACTATTTTCTTCCTACACATGCATACCTATGACAAAGTTTAATTTATAAATTAGACACGGTAAGAGATTAATAATGAAACAGAACAATTATACAGTGACAAGTCGTGAATGTGATTTCTCAAAATATCTTAAAAAAAAAACCTTTTAATATTTATTTTTGCCAGAGAGAGAGAGAGAGAGAGAGTCAGAGCGTGAGCTGGGGTGGGGCAGAGAGAGGGAGACACAGAATCCAAAGCAGGCTCCAGGTTCCGAGCTGTCAGCACAGAGCCTGACACGGGGCTTGAGCTCACCAACCATGAGATCATGACCTGAGCTGAAACCGAGAGTCGGACGCTTAACCAACTGAGCCACCCAGGTGCCCCTCAAAGTATCTTACTGTCCCGTACTTGCGCTTGTGATGATGTGAGTCAAACACTGAAGACCGGGGGGGGGGGGGGTGGGAATGACCGCAGCACACACGCTACCCAGTGGTGGTTCCTGCGTGCTCGTTGTTAGTGTCCCAGAAAGCAGAAGGCACTCGAGATAATGCAGTGACCCACAGCCCGTAGTTAAGAGATGCTATCTCCCCTATCAGCCCCAAAGGACAAGGTGAGGGAGAGGTTAATGGAAACTGAAAACGTGCAGTTGGCCAATTTGAGGCACAGGGACTTTTGGTTGAGGGACAGAATTGACCTAAAGAGCCCTCAAGGGAGGCAGCCAAGGGAATAAATACCCGGACCGCCCTCCTTCCTGCCTTCCCCTTCCCCCTGCTATAGATCTCCACTGGCTAAACCCAGCAGAATCTTAGGAGGCCAGAAGTCTGTTGATGTAGTTCATACCGTTTCTTGGGCAGCAGAGTAGGGCAAAGGCAGCAGATTTGGAGGGGCAAATGGAAGACATCTGGCGCACTCAGGATGCTATAAATACTAGTGACAACCCAAATTCAGAAAACAAATTAGGAGGATGTGCGGGAGAAGCAGTGGGACTTGCAGTGTAAGATAGCTTGAGCTCAACCATGGCAGAAAGTAAGAGTTAATAGCTCCAACGACAGCAGCACGTATGCTATTATTTATTAACATGGCGATAAACAGAAGACCAACAATACCTAAATGAGTAATGCCTTTGGGGACGAAGGGAGTAGGGACATTATACGCCTTGCAATATTATGATTTTTAAAAAGTGATATATTTAATAAAAACAAATTAAGGGGGTGCCTGGGTGGCTCCGTCAGTTGAGGGTCCGACTTTGGCTCAGGTCTTCATCTTGTGGTTCCGGAGTTTGAGCCCCGCATCGGGCTCTCTGCCTGCTTGGGATCCTCTGTCTCCCTCTCTCTGCCCCTCCCCTGCTCACGTGAGCACTCTGTCTCTCAAAAGTAAAATAAAAATTAAAGAAAACAAGGGGTGCCTGGGAGGCTCAGTCGGTTAAGCATCTGAGTTCGGCTCAGGTCACGATCTCACGGTTTGTGAGTTTGAGCCCCATTCGGGCTCTATACTGACAGCTCAGAGCCTGGAGCCTGCTTCAGATTTTGTGTCTCATGCTGTCTCTCCCTCTTTCTCTAAAATAAACATAAAAAAAGTTTTTTTTAAACAAATCAAGGAAGTTGCTAGAAAGCTACACAAAAAACTAACAGTGGTTACGTCTGTGGAGCTGGAATAAAGGCAGAGAAAGAACATTAACTTCTCATTTAACTTGCTCTTGAACTCTCCTACTACCAACATTTGCTGTTTTTTTTTTTTTTTTTAATATTTTAAGTAATCTCCACACCTAATGCAGGGGCTTGAACCCACAACCCCAAGATCAAGAGATGCACACTCCACTGACTGAGCCAGCCAAGCACCCCTACATCTATTTTTATAATAGTTTTTATACCTTAAAAAAAAAACCTCATTGGGGGGTCCTGTGCAAAAAACCTAATCAGCTGAACACAGTCGCTAAAGGGGATCTCTCTTATCCTTCAGGTGGGGTGGAAGAGAAAAACTGAAAGCTACTGCCTTGCATCAGATGAAGTCCAGGGTGCATCAATGACCTGACTCGACACACAGCTTAACAGAGCTTCAGTGAGGACCAAGGACTTCGAGGGCAGGAGTCCCTAACTTCTCCTTCTAAACTCATAGGGAATGCACACATCCAATACAAAGGTATGGTCATCATCTTTGACTATTTATACATCCTGACACTAATGTGAAGAAGCCCAGGGAAGAAAGACGATGTGGGGACCCAGACCAGCAAAGGACTCTGCCCAGTCCCCTGTTAAAAACCACTCAATTTTGGAGTGTCTTATTATGCAACGGTAATGGATACAATCCACTCTTAAAAAAAAAAAAAAAAGATTGTTGGTTCACAACTATACAGATGCTGTCGCACTGTAATTCTGCTTTTTGATGGGCTACAAAATGGCCCTTTTAAATATTTAAACTTTACCAGTACCACGCTCTAACCAGCTGAGCTAACCGGCCAACCCACTAAATATTTAAACGTTAAAAGAAAAGAAAGACACCACACGCTAAACAGAATATTTAATATACTTCGTAAGAATAGAAGGAATGCAACAAGGATTAGAATTAGTGTATATTAGACATTTCTGTAAAAGGTATTCCATTTCTCAAAGGCGTCTCCCCAATTTCCCTGTCTTTTCTATTTTCTCAGAGCCGTAAGTAGTAATTGCTACCCTCCTGAGTAAGCTTCTCTGTTGTATTAGACAGTAATTATATCTTTAAGTTTCAAGTCCTCATCATCCCTCCAAACACTTTCCTTTCACTGCACAGTCTCACTGCACTGTTTCACAGTAACGTCATGCTCTGTTCAAATTCAAAGAGCCTGAACAAAAGCTAGAGGTCCAAGGATTTATGAGTACTGATTCAGTAGCCGTGTCTACAGGCACAACCCTTTTATTTCTTCGTAACTGTAATAAGAGAAATTAAAGCTACTTTAATGAAAAAGGAACTCAGGAATGAGATCATTAAATACAACTCACTAAACACATCTTAAATACAAATATCACGTATTTCCTGATTAGTATCAGGTAAGCAGCTAAGCTATCTATCCGGAATCCTGGTCTCAGAGAAAAAGGTCAGAGACAATTACAAGCAAGGTGCTTCATATTACAGGTCCATTTTTAAACAATGCGATCCTTTGGGACAAGCACTTTAGTCTTTCTTTTTATCAGAGATTTCCATTGGTCCTTTTGTTGGTAATCCATTCATGTCTGCACCCTAAAATAAAAAAACATGTTAGATATTAGCACAACAAAAAGACACTCATTTTAAGAGATCTTCTCTTTAAAAACAGACAAACTTCAGAATGAAAAAACGCTGGTTCCAGAAATGGGCAGGGTAGCTAAATTAGCACAGAACACAGTTGAAGTTGAGCTTAACAAGCGCCAATGCTAAAACAGAGTTGTCCAAATATTCATTTTAAAAAACAATTTTTTTTCTTTTTGAGTTTATTTGGGGAAGGGCGGCAGAGAGAGAGAGGGAGACGGAGAATCCAAAGCAGGCTTTAAGCTGTCAGTGCAGACCCCGACGCGGGGCTTGAACTCACGAACTGTGAGGTCACGACTTGAGCCAAAGTCAGATGCTCAACTGAGCCACCCAGGTGCCCCTTTTTGTGTGTGTGGTTTTTTTTTTTTTTTTTTGCTTTAATTTCTATGATCCTTCCAACTAAATCTCTTACCCAAGTTATCAATCAATGAAACTGCCATATTTTAATATCATCTCATCCATTAGCTATTTACTATTATTCTTACCAGCTAAGAAATATTGGTTACTATCATGGCTTAAAATCAAGACATAAATGCACTGATCAGAAGTCCAGTTTAAAACCTTAGTTCAAACCAAATGTTAATTACTTAAAAACCACCCCAAACCCCTTATTTTAAACAAAGAAATTAAGACACATTAAGGAAGGGGCGCCTGGGTGGCTCAGTCGGTTAAGCAGCCAACTGCGTCAGGTCATGATCTAGTGGTCCATGGGTTTGAACCCCGCATTGGACTCTGTGCTGACAGAGTCTGGAGCCTGCTTCAGATTCTGTGTCTCCGTCTTTGCCCCTCCCCTACTCATGCTCTGTCTGTCTCTCTCTCAAAAATAAACAAACATTAAAAAAAAAAAAAAAAAAGGCACATTAAGGAAGCTTCTGGTTCCAAGAGCTTGCCTTTTCAAAGCTACGTATTTTACCTTGACTGTACCAACCCCCTCACCCGCCCTTATTCAAGGTATTTTCGTGTTCCTACCTTGCAGTCTACTTGGCCTTTGTTTTTGTCGTGGGATTCTCGGAGGGCTTTACTAGGCCACATGCGACTAACAAAGGGGGAGAGCAGAGGGTATATGTACGGCTCCAGGAACTTCTTGTAGATCCAGAGCAGAACTGGAATGACGATGCAAGGGATACACACCATCCTCCCAGGCTGGGGTCCCGAAGTGCTGGCACACGTGAAAACACAAGTTCGGTTAGCAGACATGAATGACGCAAGGAACTTACCTAGGTTAAGATACTGGACAGGACCAGTTCTACATTAAAGGAAAAACTTAAATCATTAATTAGCGAAAAGCACAAGTCTATTCAATAAAATGCTACTTTCTGTAAAGGAGTAACAGGTGTAGACATAAAAATAATAGTGAGGCTCCCGTCTCCCGGCCTCTTCAGTCACTTTTTCCCAACCATAATTGTGATAAAGGAAAGACACCAGTTAGTTGCTGGGTACCAGGCAGTTAGGCTCTGTGCATTTATGAACTATGTAATCCTCAAAAAATCCAGTGAGATGGAGTACCCTTGCCATTTCCATACAAAGAAAAGTAGGCTCAAAGACATGGAACATTAATTATGACTTCTATTCCAGTTTGGTGGGAATTAACTCCCAGGGCCTAATCATCTTCAGAAACTGACAATATTGACCAGCGAAAACTCAAAGGCTAAGGGCAAATCTTCTAACATGGAATTCGCTAAGGACTCACTTTGGACTTTCCCAGGCAACAACTCTCCATTGATAGATTTGCTCTCTCTCTCTTTTTCTTTAATGTTTATTTATTTTTGAAAAAGGGAGAGAGAGCGCGAGTGCACGTGAGCGGGGAAGGGGCAGAGAAAGCCGCAGACACAGAATCTGAAGCAGGCTCCAGGCTCTGAGCTGTCAGCGCAGAGCCCGACATGGGGCTTGAACTCATGAACTGTGAGATCACGACCTGAGCTGAAGTCAGACGCTTAACTGACTGAGTCACCTAGGCTCCCCTGCCTTTTTCTTTTAAATAGCAATTAAAGTATGCTGAGAAAAAAAAAATTATGCGGTATTATCGTTATAAGTAAATTGTCCATTTCAAAAAAAAAATTAATACCTCGAATTTCCTTAATTAGAAATCTTGAAATTTCTCAAAACCAACACTACTTCCATAATATACTACTGAACCAAAGACTTTAAATTTACAAGAATTTTTAGTCCCTTAAAGTAGGCATGAAACACTAAGAAGCTTCAGAACAGTGCAGAAAACTAATAGTTCAGAACGCTAAAATTTCCTATTTTGGAGGCACCTGGGTGGCTCAGTTGGTTAAATGTCCCCTGATTTTGGCTCAGGTCATGATTTCAGGGTTTGCAGGCTCTGCACTAACAGCTCGGAGCCTGCTTGGGATTCTCTCTCTCCCTCTCTGCCTCTCCTGTACCCATGCTCACTCTCTCGCTCTCTCAAAATAAACCCCCCCAAAAACTTATTTCAAAATATTGCAAATCAGGTAGTACTTGCTGGCAAATGAATCGGCACAATGACTACACTAAGGTGATTTAAAATTATTCACAATACAAGTAAGCAGCAGTATAGACAACCCAATCTGAATGTGGCTTTGAAATGAATTACAAGAGCTATAGACAAGTTAACATAAATGTACATCAAGGAACGATCAGCTATTTTATAAAGGATTCATAGCTACATTCTTTGAGACAGTCCTCTGGTCAAATTAAAGTAACATTATAAGAATTTACCAAACTATTTTGTTCCGAAGTTTTAAAGAACATATTTTCTGATGAAAAAACCCAAACCGAGCACTGAGCCTTTTTCAGCATTTACCAAGCAATCATTATTTTTGGCCACAGACCTTCTGAATTTGGTCTGAAGGGATGTGGTTTTTAGGTCTTGCACTCTTACACCACAGCCTACGAAGCAAAGCAGACTGGTTGGCAGCTGCCAGAATATGAGACCAGTTCTCACCACTTTCGAATTGGTGTCCTTCGGCAAATTATCCAAGGAGTCTGATCTTGATTCCTTCCAGTGGAAAATTAGGACAATAGCCTCTCTCACGGGATGCAGATGGATTAGATATGTTAATAACGAATACAAAGGCCAGAAGAGTGTGTGAATGGGTTAAGTGCCTTCTAAGCGTTGTTACCACAAAAAAAAAAAAAACACAAAAAAAAACCCGGAACCATCCCCCCCACCCCCAACAACAAACCCAGATCCAAAAGCTGCAACCCGTCCAAAGTTCACGCAAAGGCAAATAGTAACTAGAGTTGGTTAAGATCAGAATTCCCAATTCTGGTTTCCTACCTCAATACTCTTGCTTTTTCCCCTAACAAAAATACAATGATCAAGTTATTCCCCTCCTACCAAGCCTTCAAGACCAACTTAAACCCTTTGAAACAACTGACAGTGCTCCTAGGACTAGGTTCAGTTAATGACCGGCAGCCCATCACAGATTCATCTTTACCTACTCCTAATTATTGTCTTAAAGAAACTCTCAAGAGCAAGAACTACCAATCGCTTATGTCACAAACATGGCTTTTATAAAACTGTTTAGCTCTCTTCATAATGAAACTACTGTATTTTATCTCTCAATCTTTATGACACTCTGAGGAACTTCATACATGTGGAAACTGTGGCTTAGGAAGGTCTAGAAATTGGCTATGACAAACTGATAAGATGATTATCATTCTACTTTCATGAAGCCAGTTCTCGGATATTACAGCAAAGCGGGCAAAACGCATTTAAACTGTCGGAGGAGAGGAATTCGCTTTCATTCGGCTTAGTCCAAGACAACGGACTACAGAGGAAAAGGCCGAAGCTCTGTTAGAAATCTGGCAGGTACCGTGTCGGAACGCCACCTCCCTTCAGGTAACCCCGTTTGGCACATCGTTCTACGGGACGGGCTGATTCAAAGACAACGACAAAGGACAGGACAGGATAAGAGCGAACGGTGGTGAAGACAAGAGAGCGAAGTGAAGCCGACAGTGCAGGCCAAGGAAGAGGATAAACGGACATATGGAAAGGGAGAGGCGGGCCGGGAGGCGGGCGGCCGCGGACGGAGGAGGTAACGGCGAGGGGAGGGCAGGAGGCAGGGGCGCGCGTCTGGAGGGCGAAGCGGGGTATCCCGGGAGAGCGCAGGCGGGCCGCGGGGTGCCCGGCGCAGGCCAACTGCAGGCGGGTGGGGCTCGCTCAGCACCACCCGGGCTGGAGCCTGCGAAGCGGCCAGACGGCACCAGGGACCCCCCCCGCGCGCACCCCCGCCCCGAACCCGCAGCCGAAAGCCCCGGCCCACCGGGCACCGCTCACCCGCGTCCACCGGGTCCAAGTGGAAATGTCCGCACTTCCGGAGGGAGGGACGTGCTGCCGCCGAGCCAATGGGCACCGCAAAAGGGGCCGACAAAGGCGCGCCTGCGTCAGGCTGAGGACACGCAGGACGTAGCGGTGACGCCCAGGCGGTCGCGCGCCCTGACTTCCGGCGCCGGCACCTTAAGCGCAAACTCTGCGCTCAAGGGAGTCGGGGGGTCAGCTGTCCCGGACCCTCGAACAAAATCCAAAACGTTGATCCGGATACGGCGGGTGCCGGTGGTTCACCGCCATAGAGAAGGTCACTCCACTTGCGTGTAAGGACCAGGCTGTTACCGAACGCTGTTGTGACTAAACTTCACTGTGCTAGTTAAAAGGGTCGGAGATTCAGGCAGGGAATTAACACGGAGTTGCTTTAAGTGCTTATTGGACCCTCACAGACTGCAGTTAGGACTGTAAACAGCACGACAGGCGAAATCCAGGAAATCCACTCTTGGTACAGACCCAAGAGAAATGAGGACACGCCCACACAAGCTTGTAGTTTCAGCCGCACTACCCACAATAGCTTAAAAAAGGGGTCCAAACGTTGTTAGTTTATACGATGCATACCTGTCAAAAAATAGACTTGCTTTATCACAAAATACTATGCAAAATTAAAGCCAGTGACAAAAGACCACATACTTTCAACTTATTCGCATGAAATGTCCAAAAGAGGAAAATCTATACATCCATGTTAGTAGTTGCTCAAGGCTGGATTGGGTTAGGTAAGGTTCTCTTGGGATAATGAAAATGCCCACAAAGATTTGCCCAGTGACAGATGTGTAACAATATAATAAAAGCCATCAACTGAATTGTGTTTGGGTGAGTAGGTGTTAAGTCTCAATAAAAGTGGTTGGAAAAAAATTCAGAAATAGCCCCATACTCCGATTCCATTTTATGCAAGGTAGCACCAAGTAATTCAAAACAGCCTGTTTCCAAATCAAAATTAGTGGCACAGGGCTAACAGAATAATCAGTTTCTAATTCTAATCAGAAGAAAACCCATTTGATCCATTTTGTGAGGATACTTGTAATACGTTTAATAATAAAGACAACCAGCATTCTGTTTTTACTTTTATTTGCATGTATTTCGTGCAGAATTTACTCCCGGGCCATAAGTTTTTGTTTCTTCAGTTTCTTCTGGGATATCTGGGGAAAGAAAAAAAAAGGCTGTAACAAGTTTCCTGGAGAAGTTTGCACATGTTAAAAGGAAGGAAGAGGTAAAGGGAATTCCTCTGGCACAGAGAAATGGCACGGGGGGAGTGACAGGAGAAAAAGCAAGCAGGGAGTTTGTGCTGAAGACTGGAGACAGGGAGACCGTGTGATTAAGTGGCAACAAGAACAGAAGACAGTATTTAAGAAATTAAACCAACAGAAGTTAGTTAGGCTGAAGGGCGGGGGGAATCTAGAATCACTCCCAGGTTCCCGGCTTAAAGAACTGAATGGGATCATTTACTGCAAACAAGCTTATTAGTTTGGGGAGGACGGAGGGGCCCTTTTTTTGTACATGTTGCATTTTAAGTTGCTATAAAAATTCAGGTGGGGCCATCAGCAGATAATTATACAGTGCTGATATATGTATATACAAAAAGGCAATATCATAAACAAAACCGATCAACGACTTAAGTAACAGTGACTAATTTACCTTTTTCTTCTGTGCAACCTCCTCTTCTGGTTTAGGAACAATCTGCTCTTTTTCAGTAAGGATCATCTCAATGTGGCAGGGAGAGCTCATGTATGGGTTAATCCGACCATGAGCCCTGTAAGTTCTACGCCGCATTTTGGGGGCTTTGTTCACCTGGATGTGCTCAATGACCAGAGAATCTACATCTAAACCCTGGGAAGAGATGAACAAAATCAAATTGACATCTTTATCTCAACACCACAAACCTTATCACTGGAAAATCAAGTCCCCATCTTTGCAAGGCAAACCTTAAGACTTCAAATAGCCTGTCAAACATTTTTTTGCTTTCACCTTTATTCTAAGGGTCCTTCCTTAAATCTAAATAACTATTAAAACTCAGTGCAGGGTGCGCCTGGGTGGCTCAGTCGGTTAAGCGTCTGACTTCGGCTCAGGTCATGATCTCACGGTCCATGAGTTTGAGCCCTGCGTCGGGCTCTGTGCTGACAGTGCAGAGCCTGGAGCCTGTTTCAGATTCTGTGTCTCCCTCTCTCTCTCTGACCCTCCCCCACTCAGGCTCTGTCTCTGTGTCAAAAATAAACAAACATTAAAAAAAAAAACACAAAAAACTCAGCGCTATATGCAGCTTGTAAGGGGCCTCCCTAAAAGTCATGAAGGGGAGTGGATCATGCTTCTGAAGATCTTCACACACAAAATTTTGGTCTTCTGGAAATTGGGAGGTAGAGATTTAAAAAAACGAATGGGAAATTTCAGTTACTGAGAAAACAAGACAGTCAAAGAAAGAATCTGGACAATAGCAACAATTGAATAACAATCCAAATTATATGCATGTAAATAAAGATGTTGGGGTGCCTGGGTGGCTCAGTTGAGTGTCCAACTTTGGATCAGGTCACGATCTCGCAGTTTGTTGGAGTTCACCCCACACCCGGGCTCTCTGCTGTCAGCAGAGCCCACTTCAGATCCTCTGTCCCCCTCTCTGCCCCTCCCCCACATGTGCACTCTCTAGCTCTCTAAATAAATAAATAAAAGTCAATGGTTTAGGTACCTTAAGTTCAGCATTACTCTCTGCATTTTTAAGCATGTGCAGTAAAAATTCGGCACTCTTTTTGGGCCACCGACCCTGTGTCCAGCCCCACTGTTTGGCCTAAAAGGAATCCAAGGAACACGTTAGTCATTTCCCCTCATTTTAATCAGTGTTACAACCAATATGATTTTTAATCCAACACCAAGGTTGCTCAGAACAGTTTTTTTTTCATGGTTAATCCAAAGGTGTCCTAAGATGGTCATCCCAGCAACCAGAAAGAACCTGATTCCAGGCAGATCCTAACCCCATCCGACCCCTCTCCATTACAAAGTCATTTCAGCCACTGTGAGCTCTCACCTGGGCACACCTACCAACTCCACCATTGTAGCGTCGGAATGGCACACATTGCTTCTGCAAAGTGACATCTTTCAGGTACTTGGTGGCTTTTCGGATATGCATACCCTTGATGGCCTGGGCAGTTTCCCGTGTGTTCTAAGTATAAACAGTATAAACTGTGACTTAACGATGTGAAAGAGTAACAATTTTTTTTAATTTTTTTTTTTCAACGTTTATTTATTTTTGGGACAGAGAGAGACAGAGCATGAACAGGGGAGGGGCAGAGAGAGAGGGAGACACAGAATCGGAAACAGGCTCCAGGCTCCGAGCCATCAGCCCAGAGCCTGACGCAGGGCTCGAACTCCCGGACCGCGAGATCGTGACCTGGCTGACGTCAGACGCTTAACCGACTGCGCCACCCAGGCGCCCCGAAAGAGTAACAATTTTTGAAGTAAACACGAAATTGTTTTTTAAAATGTCAACATACATCAACAAAAGATTTCCCGTTCTTTAAAGGGGAGGGAATATTAGAAAAAAAAACCGTCTGTGATTAAAAGCCAGGGAAAAATAAACTCCAAACCTCTATTAAGTGTAATAGGTTTTATTTTTTAAAAATTTTAAATGTTTATTTTTGAGAGAAAAGAACATGAGATGGGAGGGGCAGAGAGAAAGGGAAGACACAGAATCTGAAGCAGGTTCCAGGCTCTGAACGGTCAGGACGGAGCCCGACCTGAAGCTTGAACCTGGGAACTGAGAGATCATGACGTGACCCAAAGTCGGACGTTCACTGACTGAGCCACCCAGGCGCCCCCTAACTATAATGCTTTAACTCCATCATCTTGTAACCATGTTAAGGGTCTTGTTATCTTGATCTCTACACCAAGTTCTCCAATAGTTCTCTGGTAATCTCACGCAATTCCACAAATCAAAGTGCTCATTTTATGATTGATCATTACAGACTCGATGCCTCAAAGGTGACTGCTCAGGACTGATTAGTTTTCATGGTAAATCCAAAGGTGTCCTAAGAAACGCATCACTGCAGACACCTTTTTAGAATGGTAAAAAAAAAAAAAAAAAAAAACCAAAACACTGGAACAATGTGGCACAACCCTTTCAGAACATATATGAGGATTCACATACCTTAAAGTGAACACGAAGATTTGAACCTCTTGATTTGCATGCTGAAAAATAAAAGTTTTGGTTCATTGTGGGTTATCTTATGATTCCTCTTACCCCAAGATAAGGAATTTAGATCCCTTCCGGTTCACTTACATTTTGTCGGGTTTTCCGGGTCAAGTGAATAGCGAACCATTTTCAGAGATCACCTGGAAGGGATCAGGAGGAAATTCTGTCAACACACATTTACAGTCACCGATGCAGTTTAAATACATATTAAATGCTACCGACAGCCGCTCAGAAAGTAGTTGTTTTCACGGTCAATCCAAAGGTGTCCTAAGAAATGCCATCATCGCAGCCATCCTTTTCTCCAGAGCTTTCTTCCCCGCTGCATCTACTAGGGACTCGGACCTCATGAGCCCTTTTCCCCTCTGAAGGAGAACGTGGCCTGTCTCAACCCCACTCTGGATCCCTCAGGAGTATAAGGACTCCACGCAATGGCACCGCAGAATGCTCGTCTACAACCCTCTGCACGCTCCCTCCCACAGAAGGTGATGCCGTCTTCCCAGGTGCTTTTGGGCTATTAGGTTAAGCGCCATCGAACTTGAAACACTCGTTCAAATGGGTAAGTGAAGCCTCAACCCAACTTCACTTTTACTCCCCCAAACTCTCTCGTTGCAGCCACACACGCGCCGCGTCGCGGCCAGCACTCACCGCAACACACTGGCCCTCGGGAGTCGGAAACGGCACTGACGACAGGCCGCCGGTACCCGTTCCACCCCCATTCCCGCCCATCGCGGCCTTCTGCTCCGACACGTCCCCCTGCACAGAGGGACATCGCCTTCAGCGAAGAATCAGTAGCCGCAGGAGGCTTCCTCCCGCGGGCATAGCCATCAGCGCCACCGAAGCCCGGATGGCGGCGATAACTGGAGGATTCAGCTCTCGGAGAGAGATAGCAAAGAGTCACTCACCTCAGGC